GCGCCGCCGCTCGGGACGCCGGGCCCTGACGGGAGACTCCTGCGGACCTCGACCTCGGGAGGAGTTGGAGGGGGTCCGCAAGTAGCAGGCAGGGCTGCCGGCGCCGCCCGCCGGCTCCTCCGTTCGTCCTGGGCTGGCAGGGCTGCCCTGCCGCCCAGGGGTTCCTGCCCTGCAGCCCCTGGGCCGGCTGAGGTAACCCGCGGTGTGGATGAGGGGCCGCGCCATGGAGGACAAGGCTCTCCCGCCCGGGGTCACCACACCGCAGCCCTACAGCCAGGCGCTGCGCGGCATGAAAAATAACTCATTTTACCCGTTTTCTTCTGAAGAAAAATCTCCTTGTTTCAAACAGGTGATTGGAAAGCCATCAGTTTGTGGCCAACACATTATTTTACACCGCTGCCTGTTACTTCCCAGAAGTGCTCGACAGCATTTAAACTCTAATTCCTTTTTTTTAAAAAATGCTGATACTGAGATAATCAAGGATTATTTGTCAGAACTGATCGGACTGTTTCATACTTTCTTTGAACATCTTTTCTCTTGGAGAGAATATTCTGACTGGGGCTAAAGAACAACCACAAAATGGAAACAGCTACCCTATTTTTACGCCTACTGAGGTTGGTAGACATGAATCCAGCCTAACTTTGGAAAAAAAACAGACATGGTTCTTTAGGCGACCTAAAAAGGAATTACAGATTTTGACACCAGAATTGCCTTTGATGGTATACGTCAAGGCCCTGAGTGCACTAACTGAGTGGCCTGAGCAGCCCACGGCCCAGGGCCCCACGTCAGCCCCTCGGCGCCTGCAGTGCCGCAGCAGGGCCCGTCTCCAGCCCTGCCACGGCCTAAAGGGGGTGAGCTGGCCTGCAGGCGTACAGAGATCGCGACCGTGGGTTCGCAGGATTCTGTAATACACGAGGACGTGGAGGCTTCATCCTCTAAATTTCTCTGCTTTACTACAGATTACCATAAAATAATTGCCACTAACACGTATACCTGTGATTAATAAAGCAAATACGTATCCATCTCAAGCTATTACAAATTACTATAAGCAATCAACAATAGCAGCAATCAATTGTATAGCAACAATCAACATTATAGCAGCAACCAATAAGAGCAACAACCGAGTAGGTATTTACTATTGCAGGTTACTACAAACTTGCCATGAGTGAAGCAACTTACCAAGGATATAACGGCAGATACATTATGACAGATTACTTGTATGGATATAGAATAGCAGTATCACGTGAATTAGATTTCAGAAGGGGCCAAACCACCCTGGAGTGGAGGACACACCAATCCCAGAGGGGCACCTGACCATCCCAGAGGTGGGAGGGCAGATCGAGCCGCCCCCAGCAGTGGTCCCAGAGGGGGACTGTGAAGTTACAGAGCCTCACGTCAAAGATGATGCGCAGCACGGAGTCTGGAGTCAGCCGGGCGTCCCCGGTGGGAGTCCAAGATCCCCTAGCAAGTTTCTGCAGAGAATTCAGCCTGTTTAGGAAAGGAGAAGTACGTGCAGCACGGGATGTTCTCAGAGAGAAAGGCTCCATTTTGGAAAAAAATTAAGTCATTTTTATATCATAGAGACATAGGAGGCCATAGGACACCACCACTGTGAGCAGCCAATAGGTGCTGTTAATTTCAGTTTTCCACCTGGAACAGCCAATAGAGGATGATGTTTGCTGTTCTTTCAGATCAATTTTTATTTTGCCAGACTGTTTTCCTTTTCTTGCAGGTAGAACAGCCAATGGCATTTACCAGTTCTTACTTTCTCAGGGTGTTTTCCCCTTTCCCAGACTATTCACCTTTTCAGACAAAAAGTTGCCGTTACAGTTCCTTGTTTCTGCACTTATCGATGGTATCTCAGGATGTCTCTGGTTTCTAGATACCCAGCTGTATTCAAAAAGAGGCCAGCTGCACTTTTCAAGGATGCTTCTGGTTCCCAGGCTCACAGCTCTCAGGCTGACAGGCGTTTTCTCTGCCGGTGTTTTTCAACAGACATTTTCTTCTGTTCAGTCATTTTCCCTTTCTAGCCAGGCCGCCTCTTTGGCTGCTCACATCAAGCTCCCCACAGCCCTGCCTTGCCTTGCCCATGGCCTGATTGGCCAGCCCAGCCTCGCCCTGGCCATCCCAGGGCTGTGTCTGGTACTTTAAAACTCAATTGCCGTTCTCCAGAAAACCAACCACACCAGCTTATACTTTAATAACACATCATCCAGCATTAGCTAAAGGCAGCATAAGGATTTTAAATGTAATCAGCTTTACTGCTTTGCTAGACCTCTAGCTTCAATATATAGTCTATTTCATTGTTTAATTGCAATTACATTCAAACCTAATTGAAGTGTGGGAACACTAAACTATTACTAAATATTTTTAATATTTCAAATTTTCTAAATGCCCTTATTTTGGACTATGTACCTCATTAAGAAACTTGATCTGTTAGCAGGAGAAATTATCCTTATTCATAGATCTATTTGCAGGAATAATTATTGCAGCTGTGAATTAATTAAATCCTTTGAAAAGGCCTTGTTATATTCAAAATAATATAAAATTTGCCATTTACATGGTGAGACAAAAATATATGTTGAAGTCAACTATATGAAAAAAAATGCTTTTGCCTTTTCAGAGAAACTTCTTAAATTGTCACTTGATGTCTTCTCTTAACATAGAAACGTGCTTCCTGACTCCACGGTGGCCCATGGGACTACTGAAAGTACACTAACATGTACAAATGGATTCTGAATAAGGATTTTTATGTTAAACTGTTCTGAGTCTGTCTAGCTACTAATGTCAGCTCTTCTTTCACAAAATATGTTTAATTGCTGAGAACATAGGGGAATAAAATTATTCATATCTTTGCTTAATAACCACGGTTAGACAACAATAGAAAGCAAAGAAATTTGCCCCCGAAGCACCAATCCCATCCTTGTTTTAGCTGTCATACTCCAATGCTATCTGTAGGACATATACATGTCAAAATACCTTAATACAGTACCAACAAGTGAGGAACAGAGTATCCTCCCAGTGTTTAATGTGCTTTGTCAGAGTTTTGTTTAGGGTATCTCAAAATATACAATTTCAGAGTTATCACCAGATGTGTATGACACATCCTGCTCTTTTTGTAACGAGTTCGGGTCATGGAATGTGAAACCATTTTAGGTTTAAACCACTTAGCAGTATGTATTGCCTGCCTCCCTCCAGAATTATCTTTCCTTTGAGATTTTTGTCACGAGGCAAATACATATGAATGCTTATATTAAAATCTTTCTAGACAAAGCTTGAGGGAAATCAGATTCAATCTATTTTAACTGTGAAGTTTAAAAAGTGAAACTTTGTTGTCACTCTTTTAGTTTTCGTGTGCGTTTTTTTTTCCTTCTTTTTAATTTCTCCTGTTTCATGACTGGTGTCATACATATAAAAAAAAGCATTTACCACTAGATGTGTAGCTGTGCAATACTGTGCTGCCCTCAGTGAGTTATTGCCTGGTCATATCGATCGGTCCGCTTTATAGTTAGGAAATGGCTCATGTGTAGAAGTGCCGCCCGCGATTTCCGCTCTGCAAGAGCCATCCCGATGCGAGCAGCACCCAGCACCTCCAACAAAATGCAGTTTATTTTACGAGTTTACCCTCCAAGCTCTGGGGGCAGTGCTGATGTTCGCAAAAGCCCCCTTCCCGGCTCAGCCCAAGCCCCAGCTCGATGGCCCCCCGCGCCTCGGAAGGCCTCGAGACGCTGGTGCTGCCTGTCCTCCTTGTGCTCTGTGCCCGGGCCCGCACAGCTTTCCTCTCGGAAACCTCTGCCAGGGCGGCGGGGCCGCCGGAACAGGATTCACAGCAGCTCGTGTTCCTCCTGCAAACGTGCACGGAAAAGCTACGGGCAGCCCTGCCAGAAGCAGTCACCGGGCTGCAGGGCGCAGTCCCAAGGAGTCACGCAGATATTTGGGTTGGATTTGATGCGGCGATAAACAACATTTCCGGCCGCAACAGCCTCTCTCGGCACCTCACTGCCTCCCCGCCGCCGCGGCACTGCACGGCGTTGATCCCT